CAAGGTCTCTTACGTATTTTACTACTCAGATTCAGGGTGGCTCACTTTAATTAATATTAATGAATATTCAAAGAAATAGCAGTGTTTATGTTAATATTAGATTTTAAAAAGGAGCATCTTTTCTTGTATAAGTTAAATAAGTACAGCTGTAGACTGATAGAAAAATTAACAAGGTCATACTGCTTTCTAATTCTTTAAAGCTGGTACTTTCCTCTGTCTCTCTACTTCATCGGGTCTTCATCTCTTTTTAAAATCTCATTGGAAAACTAATTTCCTCCTTGCCTCTACTGTTCAGTTATTTTCTCTTTTATTTATGAATTCACCTCTAAATAATACTGGAATGGAGGAAGAGTCCTATCTGACATCCTACATATCCTGTCCACTCACTGTCATACGAAGGTGGGTTAAAATTTTTACATGAGAACTGCCTGTGAGCTGCAAATTGAGTCTGCCAACAAAATGAAGTAGGGGATCAGCCTTCATGTAAATTTCATCAAAAGACAAGAAAGCAAAGAAACATCGGCCAGGCCCTTCATCCTACATCCTGCTCCAAAAGATATTTTCTATTTGCAGATGTCATTGCAATGCCTTGGGATACTGCTTGGGTAGATCCTATTAAAATCTCTTCTCTATAGACTGGCTTCCTCAGCTAATTGCATATTATCTTCTGTGTTACAAAAAATATAATCCAGCTGGTGTATTTGGGCCATATGGGAGAATTTCAACTTATATACAGTTGCTGATATGTATACAGCTTGATATGCTTAATACAGCTCTCGGGGAGCATTAACTTTTGATAGTTAACTTTAAGGTTTTGGATGGAAAAGGGGAGGAATAAGTGTTTTCCAGTTCAACAGCACAACCTGAAGTGCACCTGGTATGGTTTATATCTGCTGCTTACTGTGTTTCCTTTCCCGTGAGGGCATTCCTACAGAAGGACTCTGCTTCGTTACAAGGCTGTAACAAGGCCATATCTTATCCCACTCCTCCATTTGACTCGAACATGCGACCTTTTTGGAGAGAGGTAAATAGATTACGATGCTCTGGAATCTTTCAAAAAGCAAAAGCTTTTGTCAGCTTCTGAGTAATAGCTTTAAAGTATAAAAGAAATGTTCATTACTATTTGCGAAGACCTGAGATTATATTGATATCTGGAGTTTGATTTTTAAGTGAAAGACAATACTGCCTATGACAGATTTTTTTCTTTTAAAAGTACTGAGCTGTTTGTGGAAGGTACTAAAGGATTATAAAACAGAATGGACAGATAATAGATTGCAGAATAGGGAAGACATCCTGTATCAACAGAGATAATTTGCGAATATTTAGTATCTACGAAGACTACAAAGAAGGAATATGAAGAAAGCTTTTCAGACTACATCTTAGATCTCTGAGGTCAAACATTTAATGGATTTTTTGTGTGTTTCTGTAAAGACTCTCTTATCGTCTAAGGTGACAAATGTTGCTAACAGTATAGTTTTCAGAATGATTCATAATCCAGCAGAAATAAGATATTTCAACTACCAGGCCTCAACATACAGTATTATTTCAGGATCATGATATTGTCCCTCTGGTTATATCACATAACTATTCATGCAAAGGAAAACTTTTTCTCTCTACTGTGACACAAACTCATATCATCTTGTACTGAATGGCTAGGAATTTTTGTTTTCTTCACAGGCCAAGACAGCTCTCTAATTATGTCCTAGGTCAGTTTATGTTCACTGCGTATTTGGCTGAAAAGCTGCAGACCAGTGACCTCTTGTCAGCCAACCGCATAAATATGTACCAGTGTATTCCTAAATAAAAATCTAAAAATCTGTACATACATATAGAATTGGCTCCTAAAAAAGTTTTGTTATTTTATCAAGATTTTCATTTTTAGAGACAGATAGAAAGCCAAGCAATATTTTGATAAGTTATGATTCTGAGTGTTTTGCAGCAATTCACTGAAGAAATGAAGGTCATGTGAAAGGTGCTTCGAAGCAGACAAATTACTGATCTGCTTTAGTATATTTTTAAAGTAATGCATGTGTTCCATACTTGTAGCTTATTGACAGCCTTGTGAAACTTTCCTTCTCTATTTATTCCTTTATTTTTTGGTAGAGTCTTTCGCAAAATATGTGAGCATTTTTCACAGAGAGGGCTTGATCTTTCAATAGTTCTTGTGTGCAATTTGTACTGCACAAGAGTGCAAAGATAAGTTTCTTGCATATTTAGCGTAGCCTGGCCTCCTTCCCTTGTTTCGCTTGTTCTGGATATGCATGGAAAGATGCGTCTCTGTGTTCTGGGTTCACTGTCACTGATCCATCTTACTTATAAAATTGCTGGAAACTGCCCCATTTTGTGGAATGCTCACAGTCGTTTACTAGACAGCTACTCGATTTCTGTAAGTTTACATATCTTTCATGAAACCTTGGGAGAACACGACAAGATATTACTTCCATTTACGAGCTGCAGAATTCCTACTGGTTATAATTAAAAGCAAGCACGCTCCCCTAGCATGGTCCCCAATGTCATCTTGATAATTATACAAATGTCAACAAGGTATCTTACAAGAAATAGCAGTTCATACTAGTGAAATTTTAGAATCCTGCAGAGTTCTTCAGAGTTTCAAAAAGTAAAGTAACTGATATAATCTGTTGAAACCGGGGTGTTTAGTGTTTGTATGTGATGAAGACATTCAATTTCTTGTACTGCATATAAGAGCTAAGCCTCTTTTCTTCTCTAAACACAAATGACAAGTAAAAAGGGGTAAGGATAGGACTGCAAAAGCTGTTCGATTTTAGTAATTAGTGCATTTATTAGTACCTAAGGATATTGTTCTCTGCATTTTTATTGACTACTTAAGACATTAATAAAATTTCTGAGGTTTTCACACTCAACTTGTTCTTGAACTTTAGCTGAATACTTTACTCTCCAGTAGAGGGATGTCTCTGTGATAAACTCATACTAAATCCAGGAGACAATTACTTCACTTTTATCACATTTCTTGGGGGTAATCAACACCAACCCTATTTTGTCACTGCTGCTGAGAATATAAATGCTGATATTTCCCTCTTTCAGTGAGTGGGAAGCCTGAAAGATTGCAGTTTCCCTTGCTGTATCTACTCCTGACACCCTCTTTTTTTTTCAATATACAAATCCCACTTGCATTTGTCTGTTATACTTACACAGTATTACAGTCATAACGTACATTTCTTCAGCACTATGTAAATATAATTTTCTAATTTAAAACTGCAAATCAGCAGACTGATTTCCAGTACTGCATTCTTTGTCTCTCTGCTCTAGAATCTGGTCTCCAAGAGAGTTCTTCAAAATCTGTCACGTACTTCTTCCTCTGCTCAAATAAGTGATCTTCTGACTGCTATTGCTGTCTTGTTTGTCTTTCGTTCTGCCTATTACATTGCATTGCCAGAAACCACGCCTTCTCTTAGCTTACTAACAAAAGGTGCAGTCAATAGCCACGTGTTTAGTTCATTTAGTGACTTAGGGAGAAAATAACACCTGTGCAATAGTACTAGAAGATGCCAGCAGTTCATTTATCTCCCCACCCCTAAGAGGGAAGAAAAGTGTATAGCTACTCTTTATGCATTATAAAAGGTGAAAATGGAAAATGTTAATTTTTTTTGGTAGAAATGAATAGTAGTTTAAACTCTCTATGTAACAAACAGCTGTGAGCCTGTGTATCGTGTCTTGCTGCACAACAGACAAATCTAAGCTATATGTAGACCTCTACGGAGACCTATTTGCCATGTCATTCAGTATTGACAGATATTGGCAGATAATCTATTGAATATTTGAATGTTGGAAATTGTTCCATTCAATAAAATCTCATTATTTCTCTTGTTTATTTCACCTGGTTATTATTTTAATACCAAAAAACAAAACAAGGGCAGTGGAAGTCATAATGTGGCTTCAAAACCTGAAGAACTTCCATTAGTCTAGGAACGTAAGGTTTCCTTGCTTTGGCTACCAAATATTCTAAGCAATCTGTCTTCTACCTCTAGTGATGCTATTCAAACTGTTTGGATTTTTTCCCAGTTTGCCCTTTTATTCTGCATCATTAAAGCTGTGTAATCTCAATAAAGAAGTGCAGCCAAGCAAGAAAATTCTCAGATATTTACAGAGCCTAACATCCCTAAATCTTTCTTTCATGACTTGGTTTCTGTTTCTGTTCTTTGCGATCTTCTCACATATCCATTAGTTCCATTGTGACTTTCAGATGGGGACAGAGAAATAGCAACGACTGACTTAGCAGGTGATTGTTTAAGGTACGGACACCAAAAAAATCCTGCCTATGTCTCTAGGAATGAAGGCACTGATTAGCCCTAAATTTTACATTGCAAGTGCCAGGCCCTGTAGACAACTGGCAATGACGAAACACGTTTTGTGCTTTGGGAGAAGCAGGCTTCAAATTCTGCTTTCACAAGATGTGCTATGCTTGCACCTTGTACATTTACTTGTAATGCATGTTGTTGACCACTTTTGTGTGAAATCACGTAATTTTGACAGAATGCCAGAAATTTGACATGAATGCCATGCAGTTTCTCTCTCTTGTAACCTTTTGTAACCCTCTAAACAAGGCTGGTGCACTCTCATTTAATCACAGATTTTTGCTAAATAATGTCGCAAAATTAAAACACATTGACATTCACCTTAATTGTATTGTTTCAGTGTCACTCTAATGTAAAGTTTTTACAGTCCAGAAATCAAAATATATTCAAGCATATGATCCATGTATCCATGTTCATAAATGTAATTACTATGGGACAGGTATATCTACTGCCTGCCTGCTGTTCTACTTGATTTAGATGTGAAACAAGACAGTTATCAAGTCAAGAGTAAAACAACAAAAAATCAGTACAAAATAAAACATCTACTTATATAGCATTGTATGTGGGATCAAGTAAAAAGTTCAGAGTATTTTTTTTAATATCAAAAATACAAAACATATTGCTCTTTAGGATCTGAGTTTGGGTGATGCTGTAAGTGAGACCTACTTTCTCATAGTACTTGATCTCGTAGTCCAGAATGGCTCCATGGGGAAAGTCCGGCTCTTGCCAGGAGAGAGCAATGCTGTTTTGGGAAGCCCAGTCCTTCCTTACCATACCTATCAAGGAGGGTGCTGAAAGGGAAAAGGATAACTAAGGGTTAAAGACGAAGCACATGGTTTATCCTTTCAACCTACTGTCTTAGGATACCAATCCGAGCTAACTTTGAGTGACCTCCAGGCAGAAAAGCATGACAGATGGCAATTCTCAGGGAAATGATATAACCTGGAATTAACGTCTCAAGTACATACCAATAACTCCTTTGTTAAAGTGCAGACCAGCTTCTGCAAAATGGCTCTGTACAAAAACATAGAAAGAAGCACCTGTGCCGGTCCTCACCACCGGCATGCTGTTCTGCTGGCTCTGAGGACATCGTGTCCAGAGCAAAACTGTGTTTCAGAGGCAGTAAATTATGCATTCAGGATAATCTGCATTAAATGTCATAATTCAACTATATAAAATGCACATTCAGTTTACTCTTTGGGGTAAAATAAAGTGACACAGCTTAAAACACATGCAATGAATCCTGTTTCTTCTAGCTGGGCTGGCAGTAGGAAGGGAATTTTAGCCCATCAGTGAGGTAGCTGTGTGCACAGCAGAGCCAGCTTGTTAGAGGAGGCCAGTGGCAGGGACTGGGTTACGGGCAAACAGTGGGGGCAAAGATGGCCCCAGACCTACCTGCTGTAATTGATATTGCAGGTCTGCAGCAGCGAGTAGCAACCGCTTCCAGCAGCTTTTGGAAGGGGCCCAACACGGCTGGATGCACCCAAGAATCAAGTTACCTCACTATGGGTTTAACTAGTTTTAAGAATTGGATTTTTTTCACTTTTGGAGAAGAAGGTGCACTGTTATCTATGCAATAATTTCAACTGGTAAGCATTCTAGAAAATGATCTTTGCTTATTTTATCAACCTGGTCAAGCACGTCAAGGGACGTCTAATGCTGTTATAATAGTATTAATGTGCAGCTTTCACAAATGTCACAACAAAACCAGTCACGTTGTTCAACAGTGTTGAAGACAACTGAATAAGCTGAACAAATCAGCTACCATAAAAAAAAAATTCTTCCAGTGGTTCACAGTTTTTGCTATTTGTCTTTCCACTAACAAATATCAGTTATTACACACCCGCCCCTACTCCTCTCTGTTATGAATCTTACTTCACCTTTTCTAAGCTTTCAAGGAGCTGTCTCCTAAAAATAAGTTTTATGACTTCTGTTTTTATCTTTCGAATGAAAGAGTCTACCTAAGAAAATGAAATAAGAATCTGCTTCCAATTACAAAATTTCATGCCTTAGTTTTCTTTCCTGTAAATATTTCAGGAAGATTAAGAGGTGAAAACAATAAATAAATTCTAAAATGAAAACAAACAGAAAAGAAAAAAAACCCAGTTGTTTTCCTTTGAAAAAGGGGAAACTCTACAGACAGACATGCACAACAATCTCTTTCACTGTGACACTGCATTTTTCCGAGACAGAGAATAAACTTCCATCTACTGTCAGTCTTCCCTGTGGACAACTATTTTGTGGTATAATCGTTCAGTCCTCTCTCATGTGAAAAAATCCCAACCCAACATGTGACACTAAATAAAAAAACCTACCAAAAGTAGTAAGTGGACAAAACAGAGCTTACACAGGAAACTGTCCTACACCTGTACTTACACCATTTTAACCATAGGTCTGATGAAAGGGAACAAGAGAAAAAAAAAGAATTCCTGCCATGCTGAACAAAGGATTAACCTATTTTTCAGGAAGTCCTTAAACAGCATAATGTAAGTAGCTGAACAGAACAAAATAGAAATACACGAAAAAGTATTCATAGTTTCAGGGCCAAAATGTTATCCCTGGGTATGCGTAACTAGTCCCTCAGTTAAAATGAGATTTTTACTGTTGAAATTGAAGGTGAAGCTGAGCTCTTGTAATATTTCTCTGGGGTAAAATCAGCTATTCCAAGAAGGGAACAAAGATAGGTCTGTCTACAGCAAAAAAGGAGCTAGCAAACAGGGATTTGTATTTGCCAAACGCTGATCATGGGTCTATGAGGGCAATTGCTCATATACTTTTGTTTACCTTTTGCAGGTTTTGGGTCATTCATTGATTTTGAGTTGTGATTTACAGGCAGGTCTCAGTGAGCTATAGCAGCCCTTAAGATATGTCAGATACACCCTGTGTGCCTGCTCACAGGTGAGGGACATTGGCTGGGCCACCTTCCACAGCACATCATGGCTTCATCTCACTGCATTGGAGGGTTCACTGGTCAGACAACCAAATCCTTGCAAAATGATTGACCTTGATTACAGAAAACACCAGGTTAAACTGTGGATACAATTATATTCGTGGCCTTTCTAAGCTTTTTAAACATAGATTACTACTATCACACCTCTTCAAATTATGACCTAACCTGTATGAGCTTTTCACATGTATCACACGTGGTGTATTTGCCTTTGAGTTCTGATTTCCAAATTTATACAGCAGTTCATATGTGTTTTCAGTCTGAGCTCACCACAGTAACTCTTCCATTTAAGCAAACCCATGTCAAAACACAGTCCTGGTGCAACAGAAGATCATCTCAAATGTTCAGTATAAGAAGTAGCCTATGTTTCCCTGGGGAAAAATAATATAAGAAAATTACTTCAGCCCTCTCCTAAACCAGCTGTGCTTGACCTGCACTTGAAACTGAAAACCCCATACAGGAAGGCTCACATAACACCTGTAGCACTGTGCCAGGAACTGCATTCTCTAAATCAAAATGTGAAGGTGTGTACATAAAGCTGTGAATATTAGAAACGCATCTGTGTTTGTATTATGGTACTGGTCAAAAAAACAAGAGTGTACTCTTTAACAAAAAGTCACAAAAGAGTAACCATTAACAATTTCTTCTATGGATGATCCTATTATTTGTCATACAGAGGTTACCTATTCACATCTCAGAAGAAATAATGACTTTTAGGGAAAAGATTCATCATTAATTTATTGTACAAGGAAAGAGACAAATAAACCCAAGTAATTAAAAGCTGCAGCTAGCTCAGTTTCTATTTCTCTAGTTGTTGTGAAATGCTACTAAAAGCAATACTTTCTATGGAGAAATTCCAGCTTCTTATAATAGTTGCTCACTAGAGCAGCAGTTATTTAGACCCTGAAGATCCTATCTATTTATTGTTAAAGCTCTTTTTAACCAGAAAATTGTAAAACAGGTAAATCCTGTTTGCCCATTTATAAAGACTGCTCTAATGTTCCTATGATGAATCAACGGGAAGTTCTTTTAATTAGTTGTTTCAAATCCAGTAGCTGCAGGAGAGCTCTAATTTGGTTACCCAATGAAACCATTTGAGAAAAAATACTTAGAAGCGCAGCATGGCTTTTAATCACTTTAATGGTAGCATTTTCTTGCCATTGGTACCAGGCTGAAGGATGGTTTCTGGCTCTTGAGCTCAGCACTGATCTCTGTTTTGTACTGAGGATTCTTTGCACCATCTGCTCTGTATGTTTTCCTCTACACTGTTATAAATTTCTTCAATTGCAATGAGTCATCTACAATGCTGTGAGCTCCTCATTTAATTTAGTCTGAAACGTTTCTTTGTCTTTTCAAATAAGTATTGAATAATGAAAGTTCATTCCTTAACTCAGAGTGAGCTTATTTTATTCTAAATCTCTGGCCTCTCTTTTTCAGCATTCCTTTTCTCATACACCACACAAAGGGCAGAGAATGTGTATTTTAAACAATGACTGGATTCCCATATCATTTGTCCAGAGACTTTCTCTTCTTCTGAAGTTGACTTCCATTATCTGTAACTGTCTGATTTCAAAATAGGTGATCTGTAGGGTTTCTGAAGCTTTTTTCCTTTAGTCCGTTTTCTGATTTTCCAGTTTCTTGTTTATACTGTTTAAAGTAGGCAAAGACTTTCCAGCCTTTCTCCCCTGGTCTCCAGGGTTGAACAACTTTGATATGGTACCCATTCACTATGAAGAGGCTTCAGACTCAACAGCAGCTGATGTCAAAAGCTCACCTGATGTCTGCCTGTACATGGAGCACCCTAACCCTCTGGTATCTCATTTCAAATCTTCTTCCCTTGGTGAAAAGAAACCACGACAGCTCAATGGCCTTTTATTGGCTGGCAGAACAGGCCCTAACAGGTATGCACACTCACCTTCTTGTTAAAAAATCTACCATCCAAAAAACAACAGCAGCTGCACCACCACTGTTCTCTTCCCTCCTTCCCCCTTGGATCATGTCTGTTTTGGCCAAGGGCAATCAAGTGTCAGCAAATACAAATTTGGAGGGGAGGGAGTGGAGGGATGATCTGAACTGTACACGTGTTGTGCTGAGGACTCCAACTTTACTCCTTTAGACACCATTATCGTGACAAGTCTGGGTCTCAATGTGTAAAATACTGCCATGTGGTCTAATTTAGTTACACTTTTCTATACCTCTACCAATAATAATCTGAACTGCTTAACTATATGTTATTCTTTCCTTGAGACCTCTGCCTGCTTCAAGGCATGGGAAAGACCATACTCGCCAAAATATAGGGCTTTATCACATGTTTTCTGAGTAGGGATTTCCCAGTAGAGGAGGGAATCCAGCCCCCTCCCTGCCTCTTGTTTCTCTAGATTTGTGTTTCTCTTTATAAACACAGCTATACTTAAGAAAAAAGAAACACTGCCAAATTTTTGTCAAACCATATATATGTGGTATGTATAACTGTCAATTACAGAGATGTACTGAGGTCCAATTTTCAAGTGCTTTTTCTGAATGGTTAAAACAACTTTTGCACCATTTTCTATACCAGGAAATGCTATTATATTTATACAACATTTCTCTAGCCCAAGTTCTGTAACTATATTAGAATTTCTATACTATTGGACACTGAGGAAAATTTTATATTACACGTAGAAATAAATTAAACCTATGATTTTATTCATGATCCCACACTTGGATAAACTGTTATTTCAGGGCACAGTAAGAAAAACATTGATTTTACTTCTGATTCTAGAAAGTCTGTAAGAAAAGTAATAAGCAATAAAAAGATGTTTTCTTAGGGGAGACATTTTACTTCAGTAACAGAACTGGAAGTAA